TCATTGTTATTATTACATGCACAGACACCAGAGTAAGAAAAGAAAACTTCTGCACACTGACAGGCAGAAAGAGTGCCTGGCGGTCCCATAGCAACACCCTCTCACAAGGCCGTGGATCAAATTAGCTCTACCTTCCACCACTCCCTAGTTACCCTGATGAGCTGTCTTTATAGTAAGAAATATAACATGGTATTTAGCTATGCAGTCTCCTAAGTCAGCCTGCCTAGGTTCAAATCTAAGGCTCTCTGCTTCCCAGATACGTTTTTGGGGAAGCAACTTAACCTCTCTTAGTGTCACTTTCTACATCTGTAAAATGAACATAAAAGCAATTTCCATCCCCATGAGTATTAAAAGAGAAATGCAAGTTGAGTTTTTAGCAAATTCTTTTGTTATTATCCTTACATAAAACTTCTTTCTAGGTGAGAGGCTTGTCCAGGCCTCAGGAATGTTGGCGTTCCCTTTCCTTAGAAACTCCAGCCTATAAGATGGTGCAGAAATAAACCCAGGAAAACTGGAGACCAAGCTGGCTTCACCCAGACTTACGTGCCAGTTGCTAGAACAGTCCCTGGTGTAAGCAGAAATAGTCACGGAATGAAGGAAAGTACTTACAGCTCCCATCAAGTGTACCCACGAGGTGCCATCTTTTAAAAAACCCAGCTTCAGAGCCAGAAGTCACCAGTGTTGCCCATCGGACACAGGCCAGAGTTCATGGCAGGACTCTCCGATGGCCAGGTGCCTGGGAGTGCGGAAGCAGATATGGAACGGGAGACGAAGAAGCCAAGCCCAGATAGGAATCCTTTTGAAAATCCAATCTGTGGCCCTGCTCATTGGTGATTCCCAGCTCTGGTTTGTGGCACTTGCCTCAGGCACCGTTCACAAGAGGCTTTTAGGCTACTCCTCAGTTTCTTTGCAAAGGGCTTTAATTGAAAACGCATTTCTATGCCACATTTCTATACCACAAAAAGCAACCCAGACAGCGCTGCGGCTCCCCAGAGACTAGAAGTCATTTTCCTAAGGCCATTAAGTTGCAGGTAAAATGAATGAGTGTGGATGAGTCACAGTGTCTGTCCCTGGGTCATGTAGATGTGTCTTCCACATCTAGATCTTTGTGATTCTGTCACTTGGGTGTGACGAGCTGGACTAACCAGCAGAATCCCAAAGAGAAATAATGAAAACAATAATCCCAGCACTTTGGGAGGCCCAGGCAGGCAGATCTTCTGAGGTCAGGAGTTCAAGACCAGCCTGGTCAACATGGTGAAACCCCATCTCTACTAAAAATACAAAAATTGCCCGGGTGTGGTGGCACACGCCTGTAGTCCCAGCTACTCAGGAGGCTGACGCAGGAGAATCGTTTGAAACTGGAAGGAGATTACAGTGAGCCGAGATTGTGCCACTGCACTCCATACACTCTCCAGCCTGGGCGACAGAATGAGACTCCGTCTCAAAAAAAAAAAAAAAGAGAAATAATGAAAACAAATAGAAGACCGGCCTTTGGCTTTTATATTAATAATAAACACTATGACATGCTAGTCTGGCAACTTTGCATCTTAGCCGTCATACAAATCTGTCCAGATGAACACCAACATCATCACTCGTTAGCTGAAGAAACAAAGACTCAGAGAGATAAAGGAATTACCCAAGGACACACAGCGAGAGTCAGATGTGGGATCCTCCAAGCTCAGATTCACTCCACTGCTCCAAGCTACTTACTTTCTCGAAAATCCTGCATCCAGATGCAAGGCTCTCTGACCCTACATGAATCCATGTCATCAGGAAAAAAAAATGAACGTTTTTATATCTGAAATGAAAAGCCATCTACTGTAAAAATTGCTTTCCACATGGGCCTGTCCAAGACCACCACCAATAGTGGAACGACTGCCCATTCTGAAGAGTTCTGTGCTAAGACTCAGCAGTTGGCAAATGATTCTGTAGTGAACTGAATGGTGGCCCCCACAAAATACATGCCCATATGCAAATCCTATTAAAATTCGTATTGCTTTATATAGCAAAATATGTGATTAACTTAAAGATCTAAAGAGAAGGGATATTTATCCAGGATCATCTAGGTAGGCCCAAAATACAAAACAGGTATCCTTGTAAGAGAGAGGCAGAGGGAGTCTGGGGACAGACAAGAGGAGAAAGCGATGTGAAGATGGAAGCAGAGATTGGAGTGATGTGGCTTCAATCCACAGAATGCCAAGGATTCCAGGCAGCCACTGGAAGCTGAGACAGACACGGAACAGATGAGCCTCCAGAGCCTTGGAGGAAGCTCGGCCCTGCCACCACTTTGATTTCAGACTTCTGGTTTGCAAGGCTGTGCGAGAGCAAATTTCTGTTGTTTTAAACCACCACATTTGTGGTGATTCATTACAGCCGCCACAGGAAACGTAGGCCCTACTAATATGCAAACACCTTTGGCGAAGCCCCGTAAGAAGCCGGAAGTGATGTGGCTCGGCGAGTGAGAGTTACCGTTTTCCAGACGTTGTTTCAGAGTCTCTTAGTAATGAAAAATCCGCAGATCCACTCTTACAGATGGAATTAGAGGATGCTCAGTTTGAAAAGAAACTCTTGAGGTAGGAAGAAAATCAGAGAGAGGAAGCGCTGAAGGGCAAACACTTGGCTGGGCATTTGGGAGACCAGAGCTCAGGCTGCTGAGAACACAGGCCTGGGGGAAAGGAAGTTGTCTTGGGTGAAAGGATCCTCCAAGTATCAACCAGGTGTTGTTAAGGCAGGCAAGCGTGTGACTCGGTGACCCCTATTTTGAGTTTTGGAGAGATCGGCACTCGGCTGGCTGACAGCAGAGGGACTGACCCCCCTGCCCTTTTTTCTGGCCTTTGTAACAAGGGCAGTGAGTTACATCCCAGCATGGCCGAAAGGATTAAGAAGGTCAGCACCACCCTGAAAGTTGTGAGAACACAAAATGTGGAAGCCTCATGGAAAGTTTCCATTTTGCTGCCTCCCACAATACAGGTGTTGAGTTGGCCAATCTCATTCCTTCTTTCCTTAAAAAAATGTATATTGAGCACCCCACTGTGTGCCCGGCACTAAACCAAGACCCTAGCATACAACAGGGACACGAAAGTCACAATCCTGTCATCCTGGAGGGCTCTCTAGAGAAATGGTTTTCAACTGGGGGTGATTTTGCCCCCCAGGGGACATCTGGCGATATATGGAGATGTTTCTGACTGTCACGACTGGTGGGAGGGCAAGGGCTGACAGGTTATCTAGTGGGTGGAGGCCAGGGGTATTAACATCCAACAATGCAGAGGTCAGGCCCTCACAACTAACAATTATCTGGCCCAAAATGTCATGAGTTCTGAGGTTGAGAAACACGATGAGGCCGGAGTGACCTAAGCAGACGACAGCCACTTTCACGATGATAGTGAGTGAGTCAAAGGAGACCAGAAGACAGAGGCCTGAAAGACCACACAGGAGGGAGACAGGCAACCCTCCAGGGCTCTGGACCATCTCCCCCAACAAAGGGATGTCTTCGCCAAGACCTGAAGCATGAGGGGTTGTTTTCCAAGCAGGAAGAGCAAAAATGCTTTTAGGTAAGCTTAACTCTGTAGTACAGCTAGAGAGGAAAGAGAATGAGTGAGTGTGTGAGGCAGAGAAGGTGGGGCAATCAAGAAAATCCCTGAAAGGACTGTTCCCTCACTTGTGTTTTGGAGGGGAAGGGCCGTCTGTATTATGTGAGGCGGCAGAACTTCGTGTTATGAGCAGGAGCCCCGAGTCAGATCTGAATTTAAATCCCAGCGCCACCACCTCCTGTGTGGCCTTAGACAAGGCACCTAAAACCCTCAGTTCCTAAATCCATTTTCAGAAAATGAAGCAGAGGGTGGCAGGGGAGAAGAATGTCTACCTTAGGTGGTAGTGTTCGGATTAAATGAGAAAATGCACATAAACGGCTTGGCACACTGCCACGAATAACAGATACTGTTCTTATTTGTGTTTTCAAAGGTCACTCGGCCCAGTGTGCAAAATAAAATGAGGAAGGACAACCAGAAACACTCCTCCCTGGGAATACAAAGCAAAGCAAAAACAAAATGCTGAGATTTTACAGAACAAAAACTTGCTTGAGCAAAGCAGTTTCCGAGGGGCTTTTAAGTCCTTGATGCTACACTGTGCTCACCTTAAGTAACCACAACGGCAACACGAACAGTTCCATGCCCATTGAAATCATCATCCTTTGAAGGTATAGATGTCCTAGATAAATGGAACAATGTGTCCATCCATCCAGCTAGTCAGCAAGGGAAATGAAATCCAGGGGAAACCTTAGGAAGATCTGTATCGTGGCCCCTGCTCAGTGATGGTGATGAACTTGTGCTCTTACCAGGGTACAGCCAAAACACTTGGATCCCACACACAGCAAGGCGCTGCCACACACACCTTTCAGTGCATCACCTTAATCCAATTTTCTAAAAAGCTGCTTACTCAATAATGGCTCATTGCTAGAGAAAGGGCAGTTGGACACCCTTGCATCTGTCCCTGCACGCAGCTCTTGGAGGTTAGGATGCTGTCACATCCATGATCCTTCACTGCTAAGGAGGTGGTTTCTTAAGTGCACTCTTGGTGGACTAAGTCTCATTCACCAGAATTAAATTCTTTCTGCTTGACTGTGAGAGGATGAGTAGGATATGTCAGAGAAACTGGTTTATAGCCCCCCAAAAAGTGACATTTACTCTGTCACTGTGCTTTGCTTTCAGCAATAAACTACTGGGGATGGCACACGCCAAGGATCCCGTTTGATCCTGACCATCTTCATTGCAAATGACACGTTACGCAAACCAGATACACAAGGTGCACCAAATGGGCCACGAGGATGGAGGGGAGGGGAGCAACCCCTTACAAGAGTCCAAGACCACATTCTGGTACCTAAGTCATCACCCACACACTAACTGTATGGTCAAGTTCCAACTTGGGAATATGTTTTTCTTGCTTACAGTAGGTCCAGTTTCCCTAGAGATAAAAATCCAAATCACAGAAACAAGTGACCAGCCTTTATCTGCACAGACTAAGTTGCTTTTATTAATCCAGAACAGCATGCTACAGATACTGTACAGCATGAACATTTATTCATTACAAAAATGGCTTCCAAACCATTAAAAATGAACTTGGAATAAGAGCATAAAACGGAACAGTAACATCACAACTGTTAGGAAACATTCAAAGTATTCACAAAAAATGTTATAGTTAGCATTTTAATAAACCAGAGAAAAATCGGAGACAGGTTTACAATCGCTTCATGTCAACTACAATGGCACTGAATGAACAGGTTTCAGCTTTATACAGCAGTCTGCAACATCAACATGCCTAGATTTTTTTTAGTTTTAAAGTCTGCTGCCTACTCGTATGTAATATGTGTACATAAAAGCGGCAGCCGGTTTTTCGTGTAAGAGTAATCTAATATACAGAATTTTGGCCCTTAAGGGTTTATACCTCTTCATTTAAAATGCTTTCTGGACAATCTGCTACCAAACACATTTTGTTATAGGTGACATTAAAACTACATACAAATCTACCTATGTAACATCACAGCAAAACATGATGAACAAAAATTACAGCATCAAAAAGAGGGAGAAAGCTAAATTCACTGAGAATTTTGGCACGTAAAGTTCTGCACACGGTCAGTCCAGGCCCTAAGGGCGCAGGGTAGGGCATCCCACTGGGAGTAAAAAGGGGAAAAAGATGGTTCCCACTGCTGCTCAGACAGTGTCGCTAAAATTCCCTCACTCATTTTCAAGTCTTGTTTTACATAATGGCTTTTAAAGCAACTTTTGTTAATGCTACTGATCCTTAATGCAACTATTAATGTCCATTTGGTGACAACTGGGTTTCATACAGCAAAAAAAAAAAAAAAAAAAAAAAAAAAAGTCAAAAAGGGAAACAAAAATATATATACACATTTTATATATAAACTTAAAAACCTTGTACAAATGAGTTGTTATATATAAGATGCTTATGCTAAGGGGGAAAAAAACTTTATACAGTTTCAAGAAAAAGGAAAACATATTTAAAAAGGGACGACATACAGGTACGACAAGCAATCTCTAAAGCAATAAATACTACTGGCCCAACAGCATTGTGATTCTATTAAGTGTTGAGTAGCATCCCCTCCCCCCAAAAGAACAACACCATGGAACAAGGTATATTAACACATTTTTACCCTTTGTTTCTGTACATTTAAACAATAACAAGTAACATCACAATAAAAGTTGTTTCACACAGAAAAAAAACAAAAAAGTAATGGCACTGCATTCGTGGTGCCCTTACGGTTTAAAAACCAGATGTAAAATGATTGGTTCGCAAGCTCGTATTTAATACAAATAATACAGAACCAACTCCTTCTGGAGGGCTGCTTCAAAATTGCTTCTTTTTTTTCCTTTTTGTTTTTTAATCAGTCTTTTAAAACTAAGCTATCCGAACTACATAACAGTTATGTATATATATATATTTTTTAAACGCTACAAAGACTTTAAACAGCTGTTGATAAAAATTTTGGTAGAATCATGAGGTTCTTCTCTCATCTACATATTTAAAAGGAGAAATTGAAATAAGAATGGGTCAAATATTGACCAATGAACTCGATAAACATCAACTAATGTAGCCACGTGGCACAAAATTAAGAGAGTACAAAACAAAACCTTTCAAGGTGGGGGGGAGGGGGGCCAAATAAAGAAAAGTGAAACAAAACCATAAACAAAGCGACTGGGGTTCACGACGCTAAAGCTATTCTAAAGACTTGGTGACGAGCGACAGCGGCTGGGGCTGGGTCCCGGCCAGGGAGCTGTGGGAATGTAAGGAAGAAGTCGACGGCTGTGCAACTGATGAGGAGGGGGCGGCAGGCTGCAAAGCGGTTGGGGGCAGGTCCAGGGCCCCGTTGGGACAGAGGGCGGAGGCCTTGTGGGTGGCCTCGGCGAGCAGGAGGGCGGGCGGCGGAGGCATCATGGACAGGTGGGCCAGGGGGTCGGGCTTCAGGGACAGCGACAGAGGCTGGGTCTGCTCAGTCTGTGACTTGGCGTCTCGGGGAGGGGAGCCTAGCAGGTTGGGGGAGGGGGGAGGCGAATCTAGTAAGCTTCCATCTGAAGAGGGTGGGCTGAGGCAGCTGCCTTCACCTTGTATGTAGCGAACGCACTTTTTTTTTCTCCTAGAAACAGGGGAGAGAGTTATGTGTGAATAGAGGGCACAGATGCCAAGGGAGAGAGTTACCTAATGCTCGCACCCAAGCTGAGGTCACCTAAGGGATGTCCCACAGAGGTGGCATGCCCAATGGTCCGAGGACAATTACGGTGGCGCCCCCCCGGGGCTGGGTCGCTCACTTCACGGTGCCCAGATCTAAGCCCGTTCTGGCAAACCACAAATTTAAAGAGTCTGAGCTCTTTACCTGCTTCCCCCAACCCCTACTAAACACCCACGGCCCCACCCTGCCCAAATGTACGAGAGCAGCATGGAGGTGGCCACCTGCAGACAGTGGCATCTATTTGCCAGCAAGTGGCTTTGTCCAAATTGACATGAACTGAAAAGCTCTTTTGGCTTAGACAATCCCTCACTTTCCCATCAAGTTTCCTCAGCCCTTCACCCCCATTCCCACCACTACCACCCCCATCCCCCAGTGATGTCTGTGTGTGTGTGTGTGTGTGTGTGTGTGTGTGTGTTTAAAAGAGAAAGACAGAGCTCCTTCCCCAGCCGCCTCGTATCAATATGAAACTCTCAAAATGCTCACTGTTGAGCCCACATAGCTGAAGGCAGCGCTAGCAAGAGGCTTAAAGGTTTTAACACACCACCACCATGAGGCTGCTGGCGCCCAGAGAGCTTTCGGGCTTGTCTGTTAAGAACCACACCAAATCAAGAGAGGTCAGAATCAGGTGAGAAGGGAGGAAGGGAAACAAAAATAAAACAAAATAAACTTTAAAAAAAAAAAACAAAAACAAAAAACAAACAAAAAAAAGAAATCACCAAAAACAGGTAGAAGAGGATAAACAAAGGTGGGGGAGGGGGAAGAATAAGAAAAACAGAAAATGATTCAAAGGAACAAGAATAACTGGTTGTATGGCCTGCAGGTTGTGGATTAAATTAAGATTCAAACTTGATTTTTTTTATTTTTATTTTTTTTAAGATTTGGGGCTTTCCCCTCCCCCACCCCGTAGTGAGAAGGTTGGAAGGAGAGATGGTGAGGATGGGATGGATGGAGGGGCATCCTGCCCTTGTCAATATGCCGAGGCCAGTCAATGGAGGGTGCAGCACAAGCCGGTCACCAAAGTGACAACAAAGAAGAAGTGCCAGGGAATCGCAGCATGGACCTTCCTGGGTTTGGGTTATCGTGCATGTTTAAACCAGAAAGACTAATTTTGCCCTACACCAAAACCAGCATCTCCCCTCTTCACTACTCATTCATGTAAGAAATAGGAATGAGAATTTCAGAACCTTTCTTGCTTAGCATCAAAGGATGAGGTCGGGGAAAATCAACTCAAGAAATTGAGCATGTGACTTCAAAGCTTCTCCTCCCATTAATCCCAGTCTGATGGGATGGTATTTGGTAAGGAAAGGTGAGCCTGGGGATCAACCCCACTAATGCTATAAAAATAATGCAGATACAGGAAGTGTGCTCATCTAAGGACCCTAGAATATTGTCAGAACCATGGCTGATAACACTCCAACCAGAAACACGTGTGTAAGCGCTGGCCAGCTTTCTGCTGCTGGAAGCAACCAAGACGCTGCCTGCTTGAAGGCAGCCACTGTCAGACAATGTCACTGGCCTTGGAAAGGAAGGGTGTGCTGAGTTCCTCCTCTCGGCCTGTGCCCCAGAGCTGTCTGATCCTGCCCCTGTGTGCGTGGGGTTTGGACTCAGCAAGATGGCAGGAAGGCAGGGAAGGAGGGGAGGGGTTTAAGGGAGCATGCTCAGTCCTCCCTGCCTCCCAGAGGCTGATTCATGGGGGCTAGTGGCCTCAGGTGTCTGTCTGTTCCCTCTGGGTCAGAAGGAACTCTAGGGGAGCAAGCACCACCCCGTCACCCTCAATTTGGTAAGGTTCCTTTTTCTCCCTGGGAGAGAGTAAATAGACTATGGGTTCTGCTTCCATCCCAGAAACCAAGATAAATAATTAAGCCTCTCAGAGTTTTAAACCACCTTAGCCTGCAGATCAAAACATGCTCAAAAAACTAAGATGTCCATGCATTTTAAAAATGGGAGAAGGAAAGGAGGTGGGGGTGGGCGCATAAGCAAAACTGAGAAAGCAACAGAGAAAAACAGAGAGAGGAAAGGAAAGGGAGAAGGAAAGAAGTGGGGAGAACAACCAGGAAGACAAGGGAACGGCACCAAGCAGCATTCCATGCTATATTAGGGCAGAGTGAAAAGATGGGAAAAGCAACTTGGTGGGCTCAAAACAGCATCTTGTTAAAATGTCCACAAATGTCAAATAAAACTAGAAACCTTGTGTGGCAAGCTAGGAGCCCTGATTGGCTAGGAGCGTTCTGGTACTTTCCTCACCCCTCCCACCCTCATGACGTGGAAGTTTCCAGATCACAGGAATGAGAGGGGCATCTGCAACACGGGACATGAAGACTATGGCGACAGAGCGATGGGTCTTCTAAGGTGGCTGAGCACAGGGCAGCTGGCACGCACACACACTTCTGACAAGTCAGAAAATGCCTCAGTTGGCAACTTCTTTTCTTTTTTTTCCCTTTTTTTTTTTTTTTAAGTACATTTTGTCCTTGGGTTTCAGCATCAAGCCAGGGGTGGCCACAGCCACGTTAAAAGGAAAAGTTGAGCAAAAGGGGGAAGGTAACCCATACTCTTAGCACCCCCAACCTAGGCTTCACCTCGATTCAGAGTGGCCTCTTAAAAACCCCTTTCTAGCTTCTTACTTATTCTGGAAGGAAACTAAAGGTTTTTCCTGATCCTGTTTTGGAATAACGTCCCTCAAAGACAGCAGAAATGCATTTGCTCATCATTCCATGGTATGGAAAAGTCACCAATGAAGAAAAACGTCTGCCGGGAAAGTCTGAACACTGCTGAGACTGGAAAGAAAACCAGGTGGAGACGGGGACCTGGGGAACTCTGGCACCTAGGACCAGGAGCTCAGCATCTGCAGCAGAAATGCTGCCATACTCACAGCCCCTCCAAGATGCATTTTAGAAAACGATGCTGCTCAAACAGGAAGCAGCTACAAAAGTTTTAGGTTGACAGATTTTTTTTTTTTTAATATATCAATAAAATTCTGGGCTCTGAAGATACACCCAGGCTGTAAGCAAGGTGTAAGCTATGTCCAAATGGGGGACGTACGTTTGGGTCAATGTTAGAAATAACTTCAAGAAACAAAAAGTCTGACTTGCAGCAACTGCTTCCAAAACAAAAAAAGAGGATTCATAAACCACCACTCACCCCATTAATAAAATAAACAAACCAGATACCTGAACCGGCCTTACTGTGAGGCACACACAATAGTGTCAGTTGTATATTTCTACACATCATGAGAAACCCTCTCTTTTAGTGACCCTTGTGGTTCACCAGTCATTTGGCCATGGCAGGGCATCTCAGAACAGGCTTCCACAGCTAGTTATCTTCCCACCTGGTACAAGTAAAATGTTGACAAATTCACTGCTCAACAGAGTCCCTGCCCTCCCTGGCTAGTCCTAATTAAATACCTAACCTCCTCCATCAACTTTGTCACAAAACTCCTTTCTGTTGTGCAGAGAGGACCCCAGGACTGTGTCAAAGGGACATCTGTCAGCTCTGTGAACACTCCCGTCTCACAGAATGCCTGGGGATTCCTCTCCTGCTGGGTGTTCAACTCGCCCCCAAATCCCTCATTCCATGGGCAGAGGGCTGTCTGTGTGGCCCCCTCTCAGGGAAGACTCTCAGGCCCTCACTCCTCTAATGGGCTGGGGTCAACATGAGGCACTTCACCGATCTCTCGTATTGGCATCAGAAAAGGGGGGAAGAGACACAGGAGACTCGTGGGCATGCACGTAATGGGATGCACATCTGATCTAACGTCTAAACACGCAGCACATGGCAAAGTCATGAAGGGGAGGGACACGTGACGAGGGAGGCACTACAAACAGGGAAGCGTGTTTGGGGTGTTGAAATACCTACCATCATAATATTCCAAATTCAAAGACTGCTTGTATCAGAACAAAGAAACAACAAATTTAACCAAAGGTGGTCATTAAAGGAAAGGAAATGAGACAGGAGCTAGTCGGTATCCCTCCACCAAGAAGGAAGTACCTACGCTTTCCCTGAGAATGCAGGCTGGATGGAGACCTGCAGGTGGAACATGGGTGCTTAATTTGGACACTTCTGGGCTATTCTGATTCGTTTTGGAACCAGTGCTATATATATACATGTATTTTGTTAATTCTGCAGGCCTAGGGACGCTGCAGTCTGAGACTGCATGACTCACTGCTTGCAGCCCTTTAGCTGGTGCATGCCGTTCAATGCCACGCTTCTTTTTCAGCACTGTAAAACAATGTCAGCTAACCAAGCTCCTCTGTACAGACATGTGGTTTTTTAAACATAAAACAACCAAAAAGGAAAAAGAAAAAGGGAAAGAAGAAGCCTACCCCAGAACCCTTCTCCATATGTCTCCACTCTAAGTGCACGGGAATGCAATTGCTGCCAAGTGTTAACTCATTCAAACCTTTGGAAAGGGTGGCTCTCTGTGCTCAGTACCCGGGCCACCGAGGCATTCACAGGGCCGGGCCAGCTCCAGGATGCTGGCTTTCAAAGCAAAAAGATAAGTGCCCCTCCTTGTTTGTTAAGGCTGTGGTCTCAGTCCTGCCACCAGGGATGTTACTGACGAGAGCAGCGGGGAAAGAGAGAAAGAGAAAGTGGGGAGAGGAAACGGCATAAAATTAGCAAGGAAATTTTGAAGAATGAGGATCATTAGTCATTGATGCCAGAGGGGAGGTAGATGGGAACGAGGTCAAAATAAATTATCACGCTAAGGTACCGGAAGGACAGAATGCTTTGATTTTCCCAAAGGCCTCGCAGTGGTAATATACCTGCACGGTTTGCACCATAAAGTCTGTCGGTCAAGCCCGAACAGTGCCCGACACTTCTTTGGAGTATTTGCATCTGTTAGCATAAGGTAAACACAAAAAATACAACACAATGGTGGGTCGTGCTCAGTTGGATGTGAAATCTCAGCTACCGCTTCCTTTTCTTCTCTATCACCTTGGTTCTACTTGATAATCTTCCCTCACCAAGGACATGAAAGGAAAGGACTTCTATGAGTCAAAAGAAAAAAAAAATAAAATAAAACAATAAAACACACACACACAAAACAACAACCAGAAACCAAAAAACAACAATGAAAAATAAATAAATAAATAAAAAGAGAGAGAGAAGAGGAGGGGAGAAGGTGACGTCATTTGCTTCTACCTAGGCCAGGATTCCGATCCTGGACTGTCACAAGGAAGGGACAGGGGTTGGCAGGTAACATTGCCTGGGAGGGGGCGCACTAAGGTTTGTTGTCGCTGACCCGAGGAGGCATGAGTGATGCTGTTTTACAGTGGCATTTTGGCTGGCAGCAGCAGGAGAACAAGCACATCCCTCATAGAGCCCATACACTTGGCAGTGTCCCACTCCCCTGTGTCTCCTGAGATCCACACACAGAGCTACAAAGCAACAGGCCAGAGAAGGGGGAGAGGATCGAATAGACCAGCTGCAAACCAGCACAGCGAATCTGGAAAACTATACACACCTGCAAGGGCCGCACCAGTTATTCTGTTGATCAAGGCCAAAGCGCGCTCGGCATTTCTTAGGAGCGCTCAGGTCTGAATGAGTTCAAGAGAGAAGCGAGCAGAGGAGGAGAACGTGGGAGAAAGGGAGAGAGAGAGAGAAAGAGAGAGAGAGAGAGAGGGAGGGAGGGGGGGAAGAGAAAGATACAAATAAGAAAAAAATAAAAATAAAAAAGGGAATAAATCAATGACCTGGTTACTAATTGCAAAATATTGACTTTAGTTTTTTAACTTTCTTTAATTAAAAAAAAAAGGTAAAAATCACATTCTTATTCAACTTTTGAAATTAGCTGTTGCAAATAAAGCTGCAGTATCCCTTCTTTAAGGACTGTCTCTCAGATTTGGTTCGAGCTGACAAAGGGAAGTTAGACACAGAAGAACTCTTTTAAATATTTTTCCTCTTTTAGTTCTGCTTTCCCTTTTTTTCTCTCAATTTTTTTTCTTAAAGAAGAAAATAAAGCGAAGGAGGGAATTAAGTTTGTAACATGCTTTTTTCTTCTCAGAATACAATAGTTTAAAAAAAGAAAAAAATTACAAATAAAAACAGAACAAAATGAAACAAAATAGAAAGAAATAAAGAAAGAAAAGGGTTGTGGTACTGGGATATTGCAGCTTTTGGAATGTTCGTCTTTTCTTTTAAAATCTATTTTCATTAATTATTAAGAGAGGAACAGATAAAGGTAAACAGGCTGTGTGAATGAGCTGTTAGGAGTTAGTTAGAAGCTCATAGCAGCATTTAAGCAGGCACAGTCAGTAAAATGCTAGTGGATTTGCAAATTATAAGCAGAAAAGCAAAAGGAAGAAAAAAACTAAAATAAAAAAAAAGCAAAGGAAAAAATAATCATACTGCGGATGCATGCTTGCGTGAGAAAACTTAGTGGGAGCAATGAAAAAAATGCCATTAGATTAAGGAGGTTTATTACTGAATTCCTTCCATTTTTTTTTAACCAGTCTCTTTTAAAGAAATACTGCATATTCAATTTGCACAGTTAGTTCAACTCTAAATCACTGTCATCACTGCTTAAACAACTGTTATGGGAAAAAATAAATAAAGAAACAAAACAAAGGTTAAATTAAATTAAAAAAAAAAAAAAAAAAAAAACAGAAGCAACTGAAAAAAAAAAAAATCTACCGAAACATACGAAACCGTGTTGATGGTCACTTTAAAGAATGTTCAAATGTCATACGTGTTTAAATGTTAATAAAACTATAATGGCAAGAAAAATTAAAAAACAGTTTATCAACTATTTTAATGACTCAAAATGACATTAGCACCTGTAATCGGAGGAAGTGAAAGGCAAGGATTTAGGAAACATTCGCTGTGTTCTGAAAAAAAAGAACAAATTATACAAAGCCTTCAAAATTTTTGTTTTGTTTGTTTGTAAAAGCCTGGCCTTCTCCAAGGGACCTCTGAGATTGCCTATGCAGTATTTCTAATTTCTTCTAGAGAATGACAAACCTCCTTAATTTAAAATGGGTGTAATTTACCACTGTAAAGGCATGCATCAGAACATTCAGGAACAGCCCAGTTAATATCAAACACTCACACACACCCCCTCCTACTCCCCTAAGCCCCGCCCCCTCCTCATTCCTTCTCAGGCACATACAAAATAAGCAGACTGTATAAATCCCGGCATAGGCATGCCTACCGCTTGCTCTCCAGTTATAGGCTTTGCAGTTATTTTAAAACACATTCCACTAGAATTACAATGTGCTTTTCATGCAACAATGGATGTTACTAGCTTTAAAAGGGCAGTCATGAAGCAATTAATTAAAATGCATAAACAAAAAGGCTGGCTAAGAAGGGTTCCCCCACAATGTCCTGGCCTTGAATTTCTCCTGCCTCCCCCAGATGGAAACCTAACATAAAAGGGTGGTCCTCAGGCTACGGCTTCTTCCTCTAACCTGATGATTGTCACTTACCATTGGTCTCTCCCGGCTGCTTGTCCCTTTTCCTCTTCTTCTTCTTTCCCTAGATGAACAGACAAAACACAGGGAATTATTGCAAGAAACAGACGTGAGAAGAGTGTCTGGGCGCACCTGGAAGGAGAAGGCAGGAGGAAGTGACCATACTGCCATCTCCATCCACATCAACTCCCGGTATTTGTCCAACCTCCAACCCCGCTTCAAGCCAAATGCCCTTGCATTGTACCCCAGCTGGAGGGACACGCCTTTCTTGGGAGAAGAGAAGGGATTGGCGGGTGGTGAAGGGAAGCTCTCATTTCTCATATACCTATGTCCACTGTCAAACCTGACCCACAGCATTGGATCCATAAAAGGGAAGGGGGGACTGCATGAGGAAGATTCGGAGAGGAGTGGGATGACGACATTGCAAGCAGTCTGAGAGCCCATCTTTGAGGAGCACATGAAGGTGGTCATGGCTGCACCAGCTTCAAGGGCTGCCCTGCCTGACCTGCTCACAGCTCTTACTTATGAATGCCAAAGGGTCCCATTCTCAATCAAGAGAATGAAAGCTTTAGCAGGGGCTTCTCTTAGAGTTGGTTTTTAAAGATGTGGGGAAAAAGGGTAAAATAGGACCAGGAATCATATGGGCTCCTTTCACAACTGCTGAGTGGGCTGGGAGCAGTGGCTGATGCCTATAAGCCTGGCACTTTGAGAGGCCAAGGTGGGAGGATCACCTGAGGTCAGGAGTTCAAGACCAGTCTGGCCAACATGGTGAAACCCCCGCCTCTACTAAAAATACAAAATTAGCCGGGCATGGTGGTGGCGGGTGCCTGTAGCCCCAGCTACTCGGGAGGCTGAGGCAGAAGAATCGCCTGAACCCGGAAGGCAGAAGTTGCAGTGAGCCAAGATCATGCTACTGCACACCAGCCTGGGTGACAAGAGTGAAACTCTGTTTAAAAACAAACAAACAAGAAAACAAACCAAACAAACAAAAACCTGCTGAGTGGACACCTGTAAGAAAGAAGACGTTCCCTCAATTCTCTTCTAGCTGACATAATGAGGATACGATTCCTCCCGAGAATGGGTACATGTATTGAGCCTATGCCAGGTGCCAGGCATGATTCTAGGTGTGCTACGCAGATGGACTCGTTTTAATCCTCACAACAATCCTCTTCAACAGGTATTACCGCCATTCCAGTTTCACAGAGAAGAACACTGAGGAGTTAGGTAACTTTGCCAGGGTCACACGTCTAGCAAGTGGTGGGGCCAGGAGAGAACTCAGGTGGTCTTGGCTCCAAAGCCCTCAACCACAAAGTTCTGCTGCCTGCATGTTTAATGCCTACCCTCCAAGGAAGCTCTTTCAGTGAGGGGTTTAGGAGATGAACTGCATAGAGTCTTTCATATTCTCCAACCTGATCCTTCTTGGTATCCTGACCGTCTGCTCGAGGTTGCAGATGTGGAATGGGACTGGGGGGAATTCAGGAGAGGGTGACTGCCTCATTCCGGATTGAACTAGTTCTCCCTCCCCTCATAGTCCTGCCCAGATGAAGTAGCTGCCTGGCATACATCGAAATGAAATGGTCTTACATTTCTATATGTTTCAGAACAGCTAAAAGTTGCCTTCACCTAAAGCTTCTCACAATATGTTGATGTCAGCTCAGAAGAGAAAAAGACAATGATAGGTAGAAAGAAACTTGAGGTCTGGGCGCAGTGGCTCACGCCTGTAATCCCAGCACTTTGGGAGGCCAAGGCGGGCAGATCACAAGGTAAAGAGATCGAGACCATCCTGGCCAACATGGTGAAACCCCCTCTCTACTGAAAATACAAAAAAATTGCTGGGCATGGTGGCACATGCCTGTAGTCCCAGCTACTCGGGAGGCTGAGGCAGGAGAATGGTGTGAACCCGGGAGGCGGAGCTTGCAGTGAGCTGAGATTGTGCTACTGCACTCCAGCCTGGCGACAGAACAAGACTCCGTCTCAGAAAGAAAAAAACAAAAAAAGAAAGAAAGAAAGAAAGAAAGAAACTCGAGAACATGTTAGGCTCTGTCAGCTGTCAGGAGAACCTCAAGCTCGGTGATGCCACCAAACTTAGGCTCCACCCTAGGGCTGAGGGCCATCTGTTGTAGAAATGGCCTCTCTCTTCTATGAGGTCAAGGGGCCTGTGCCACTTGGGAGCTTTGTTTTGGCCTTCTGCTCAGGGCTCTTATTGAAACGTGCTATGTCCCTTCATGTACAATTTCTTTTAAAAGGACTTCATGTGCTTTATCATGAAGCTGGCATCTCATGGGCCTGCAACAGACCATCTCCATGCCCGCGCCTCTCGCACGTGAGGGGCAAAGTGCCACTTGGCTGTCCTGGAACAGGCAGGTGGGCCTAGTTTCGGTTCACTTAGGAGCCTGAAGTATTCATAAAAACCGGGCACAGAAATGTTTTAACTTCATGGAGTATCAGCATCCCCATAGACAAGGGCTTCTCAGCCACGTGTGAAAAAGCATCTCCATTTCCAGTTCCTTGCAATATACTGTGGAGGCATCTGAAAATTCCTCTACCCACAAGGAAGCTGTCCCTTTAGGATATAGCATAGAGATGGTGACTACTGAAGAAGTTCTCATTTAGACTAGAGACTTCTGGAGGACAGGGACTGTGTTTTAATAAAAAGAAGACATGAGAAAGTGGATAAACCCTAAGCTTAGTGAAGAGGAAGATGCGTCTCCAGGGAGGTGGCCACCCTACTACCCCCTTAAATGTAACAAAAGAAAGAAAGGGCCTAATATAGGGGTGGAAGAAAAGAAACTCAGGTGAGCAAATGGCATGGGACCTCTATCCTTTACCTAGTGTAGAGGGTTAGAAAGGAAACAATGTCAAATATAACCCCAGGGCTTAGATATTACTGTGGGACTCAAGATTTTTTTCTCTTGGTCTCTAGAGAATGTGCCAAGTCTGACAACCCAGATGTGACTGTTTTCACTCAATTCTGTTTTCCTAAGGTAGAGACATAAAGTCTTCCGTTACCAGTTGGCTGGAAAAGCAGGAATGTGAAAGAGGCATGAGGCGAGCTCAGGAAATATTTTCCAGAAGAACCTTTTGGAGTTTACAATGACCAAAGTAATTTATGGAAACTCCCATGTCAAGTTAGTTTAAAAAAAAAAAAAATACTAGTAAGTTGCTACCACATTCAAACCCATAAAAGCGTCAATGCTGCGGTTCTTAGTCCCAGTGTTCCCTAGTGCATAAAAGGAAGGAGTGAGTGTGAGTGTGTGTGTTCACACCCATGTGTAATGAGTCATTGTATTAGGAATCTAAGTACCTCTTACAAGAGATAAAGTTCCTAGAGCCCTAAATCCAGATCTCTAAACCTCAAATCGTCTCAGGAGTTCCCTTATTATACCAAACCATCTTCCAAATTTAAAACTGAGCTAAAGCCATTTTGAGTGCCTCACAGCCCTTCTGAAACCCAGAAAGTATGTCACAAAAAGCCTCGAGCAATACTTTCTCTAAACGACTCTGAGGCAAGTCAAACACGGTATTCTTTTGAAGCTATCACAGTCTGCCTTGTACCTTTGTAGAGATTTCACCCTGCACAACTCCAGGGGGCACCATTCACATAGACCCCAGTGTAAATGACATACTCTAGAGTTGTGCAGTGCACGCCCTGCACAGCTGTACATGAAGGCCCTACTATGACCCAAAATGTCTACTGGGGATATGATCTCTACAGAGAAGCTGAATTCCGCTCTGTGGTATCATTCTAGATTACTCAAAGAATTGGGTCTGTAGCAGGTAGAAGCTCAAGATGAACTCTAAGAACTTCTGACCCGAAACCAGGAGAGCAGCTTTCCTGAAATGATATGGTTGTGTACGTGGAGGCTATGGAGCCTGCCTGCTGCTGGAAATCTCCACCTCAGGGTCAGGTGGGGGTGAACAGCAAGCCTGTGGGAGAGCATTCACTTTCTCATCCTCTTCCTTTCAGCTCCAGAAGAAAGGCTTCCCCACTGCACACATGCTGGGGACAAACAGAAAGGTCCCAAGCAGTGGAGACCCCGTGCAAGCCCATCTGTCAGCGACAAGGGCTCTCTCAGTAGAACACACGCGCCATCCAAGAGGTGCCAGCACTCCTTCCTGATGCAACTCCCAGGAGGAGCACAGTCTAGCGCTGCCAGCTAGGGGGGCAGGGCCTCGAGAAAGATGGCCAGGGGCACCTCCCTTCTCCCTCGTCTGCACTGCAAGCACGGGTTTAAAAGTATGAGAAGAAAGAGGAAGGAGGCCTGAAATCACTCATCAGAGCAGGCAGAAGCAGCTCCTCTTCAGGATCACATAGGCCCGAAGATGTTTGCGATCTCCTGGCAGATGCTAAGTTCTCAGGGAGTAAAGATGTCCGACTTAACTCTGAATCCCTGTAATAACTTGTGCACAGTAAGTGCACACTCAGTTCAGTAATAATTTAACGACCTCAACCCCCAAACGTAGAGCTGCTTCACCGCGGATGATGCCAGTGGGAGAGTCAAAAGTAACTGGAAAAGTAACCATCCACGGTTCCAAGACATTGACAGGAAGGGGATGAGAGGCCTGTGCCGGCCTTAAGACAAGTTTTGGTTTTCCCCTAAGAGTGGACAGAAGTCTCTGGAAGACAGTGTGCTCATGGGAGGAGAGGAATCGTGGGGTCACAACCACTGCAATTAGTAAAAACAATCATACCATGGTGTTTCCTACAACCCAAGAGAGGACTAGGTAGATCCTGTAGCCAACACAGAGCCCAGGATCACACACACCACATAGCACATCTTTCCCTGCCCCTGCTGGACCCAGAGTCAGTCCATGCATCCTGCCAAAGGCTGACTTCCTCTGGCTGCTTTCAGGGATATTCCCATCATGCTCTTCTCAGGATGAAATAGGCTTCTAACTTCTACTGCACCATGGCACAAAGCAATAGTTTTCTTTTTCCTTCTTAAGGGGTAAAGGGCCTGCTGAAAGACCTGGGAGGAATTAAATTCTGTTCCTCCACACCTACCCACTGGTCTTCCCTAGGCCATACCACTGATCACTGCTGAGGAGCCTGAGGAACCTAATTCAGAACATAAGGTACTTTGGGTGTATCCTAGAGCCTTGCCTCCTCTAGGAAGTAGACAAGCACCAAATCAACCTCATTGGTCCTGAGCTGGAACAATGGGACTGCAGCCTCCTCTCTCCACCCTGAAGAATGACTGTGAGCTGATCGAACCATCCATACTGGAAGCCCCTCCCTGCAGTTTAGTGATCCAGGAAGATGCTACTGGTCCTCAAAGTGGGCAGACTGGACGCTCCTGAGGCCCACCCCAGTCAAATGGCAGGTCCTGTTTTCTTTGTCCATATAGACGCACAACACAGCTCTACAGACTCTTATCCTAAGGAAAACGATCCACCTACATAGTTATCCCGCGCGGACCAGCCGGGGTACAGCTGCATATGAAGCTGTCGCTCCTTCCGGGCCAGCTCATAGTATTTCGCTTGCTCTTCTCTGGACAGTGCGTGCCACTGGAGGGGATGTGGGGTGCAGACGAGAAAGACATGAACAAACAGAAAAGCATGAAAGAACATCACACACTAAGCCAAGGTCAGGGAATAAACGCTGCTGCTTTTTTGGTTGAGTCTGTCCAGAAATGGTATAATCTGTACATACTGACTGTTTGCTGGGTCCTGGCACTAACAGGAATACTTAGACAAAACTTGATTTGTTATCTATGTCATTCTGTCATTTACTCACTCTCTCGGGTGGGGGAAGAGTATGGCTGTGGCTGTTCTGAATGCTATCTGAGTGCGGAGTAACTAGTCCTGACTCCATGAAGGTCATTCGAGGACTCAGAATGTGGCTGAAGGGCAAGAATTCTCCACAGAAATGCGGACAGAGACATTCTGCCACCTGACCTGCTGCACTCTGGTCCCTCACCACCCGCCCCCCACTTCTCCCTGAGAAGGGCGTCACCTACCCTCCGCCCAAGGATCTGGTTGATGGCCGCGCTTTCTTTCAACGTGCACTCAGCTACGACCTTTGCTCTCATTTCCTTCATATACAACATGAATGCATTAAGAGGTTTCTTTATGTGGGGCTTCTTCTTTTCTTCTTCCTTTTTGGAGTCCTGATGCTTTCTGGAGATAGACAGAACAGACACAACCCAATAAACAAGGTAGTGGTCCAACTTCCTCCATGGCAGAGAGCGTATCTCCTTGTCTCCTAACCCCCAAGTCTTGCAGTTTTGGATTAAAAACCATGTTTTTAGTCTTCTCTACCCCAGAAAATGGAATAAAAATAGCTTGGAGAGGGATTGGGGGAAGGGAGGGATTTTGCAATCACTTCCTCAAGTTTCACAAATACACAATTTTCCCAAGCCGGAGAGGAAAGCACATGGTTGCTGTCTTCACCTCGGCAGGGTTTTCTCCTGCTTGCAGAACAAAGCTCCAAATGTTCAAGTACAGGGTTAGGGGGCAGGGAAGTGGTTGCAAATCCCAGTGTATCCAAGCACACACACAAAAACCAGTTCTGTTCTAACCCGCGGTGATGCAGTGAGATTCTGCCACTGTGCACTCTCTCTATCTTTGTAAGGCAGTACAGAGCCCATACAGCCTGGGTATTGGCTGGAGTCAAACCAAACGAGGCCAACCTTAGGGACAAGGCCACCACCCAGTAGCTGCAACAGGCTTGCAGAACACTGTGGCAACGAAGAAGTGAGAAAAACAGCAACACTTACGAGCTATGGAGTGAGCCGACGTCACTCTGGGACGATTCCTGTTTGACTGTTGGTGTGACTATGGCCGGATGCGGAATGCCCGTCGTGTGTAGCGTATGATGTGGTGGGACCATATGGGGAGGGAACCTAGAAGACAGAAAGCTGTGTAAATCGTCAGAATCAAAATGAATGAATGAGGAGGGATGTGTACACACAATTAAAAAGAAAAAAAAAAAAGCACGTAACACTCACATGAAAGCAACGCAAGGCATATGAAACCTGTCAGCATTAATTAGCGATAAATTAAACATAATGATTCTCATAATGTCATTAAAGCCAATCTCCCCCTTCATTATTGCTACTGACATAAGACATTATGATTTTTAACATATTTAGCAAAAAACAAATTTAACTGACGTACTTGGGCGGAAAAGTGGGCTTGGACTACCTGCCAGAAATCACACGTCCACTTATTTTTTGAGGCATTATTAGTGGCATCTAAGAAGACAATTTCCTAAGTCCTAATCAGCTCTAAAATGAAAGGTGAAATCTTTTGTTGTATATTGACAGCTAAATAAAATATTAACGTGGTTGAAATATACATACATTTTTGACAATGCTGTGCAAGCCTCATTAGGCCTCATCCTGTTGATGAAGTGCAATACAATTTTTATTTTTCTTTTGCGCTGTGTCCCATCATTTGACAGGAATGGGAGAGAGTGAGGCAGGAAGAAAGGGAAAATTCAAATAGTTCCTATTTGGTTCGTATCATAAGTCATGGACATTTTAAATAAGTTTGTATCCCTTTCTGGAAAGATGCAAAAAAAAAAAAAAAAAAAAAAAAAAGGAAAGGAAAGAACAGGTGCGCACACACACACAATAAAGCTTTGATTCTGATTTGTATGCCCTTTCTCCTCTAAAATTTAGGATTCCTATATCACTTTTACTTCATATGTTGTCTATGCATCATTAAGAAGTCTCCTAAATGATTATCAAAATTATAAATGAAAGATATAGTTTATTTTCTCTCCTCTCATGCTGCTCATTTTTTGGACAGTTCTCTAAGACACATTTTAGGGCCTGAATTGGCATTTCCCAACCAAGTACATTAGCCAGGACAGAGCTAATTTCAACCTATTCTTGGCCTATCTGCAAACTGACAACTGGATCAAACACCTTTCTCATTTTCTCTTTTGCATTGTGTCACCATGATTTGTACTGGGTTGGAAGACTCGCCCCTCTTCCAGCAACATATCCTACTATAGAAAAAAGTAGTGAGGGAGAGGGCAGAATCCCAAAAGAAAACAAAATGGCAGCCTCCTGCTCCAACCTGGCAAGGTGATTCAAGTGAGCAGATGGGAAGCTGTTCAGATGAAGATCATGGCAACTGTTGCTTTCTTAGTAAGCCCAAACCAAAACCGTCCAACGTACCACCCAAGGAATAATAACCTGCTCTTCACAAAGCCAATTCTGGTGGGAACTAGAGGGCCTGCCTAATGAGGATCTATCACGACAATTCTCTCGAAAGGATTCCGTATTTATTTACAAAGTTTCTTCCAAACACGGGCTAGAGATAGTTTCCATTCAGCCAAAATGAGGTAACAAACGTTAATGTGAAAAATAATAAAATGATTAAAGTACTAACTGAATCTACACAGATCAACAGAGGAGGGAAAGTTAATGAAAGTTAATGAACAACGCTGATTCTTGAAGAAGGCCCAAGCCACAGTAGACATTTCACTCAAAACTCCCACCCTGAGGTGGCCTCTCCTGCCACTGTCTTTACACATTTAAGCCAGTGGTGAAGACTGCATGACATGACTTTAAAAATAACAACCATACGAGTCCTTTGAATGTATCAAAAAAATAAGAGAGAGAAGGAAAATGTAAGGAAACAAACAAGCTCACAACGTTCATCCCCATCCCCTCAAAATAATGTGAAAAACAAAAAAAGCAGAGCCCTTGGGAGACACTTGGGCTCCAAGTGACACCCTGTTCCTTCCCACTGCTCGAAGGCCTCAGAGGAAACAGAAGCTAAGAACATGTGTTCTTGGAAACCCTTGGGTGAAGTGGTGGGTGGCAGCTTTTACTGTGCATTTTAAAGGCCTGACATTCCTCAAATACATATGTTCCTTTCGTGCAGACTGAGAATATGTGTACAGACGTGCGAGGGAAAGGGAGGGGGAGAGAGAACAAGGCTGTGTGTGTGTGTGTGTGTATGTGTACGTGTGTGTACATACACCAAATACCATGGGAAGACGCCACAATCTGAGTACATTTTGGGGTGCAAACTTCCAATGCTGCCATGAAGAAGACACATTTCTAAGTTCCCATACCTACACGTATATTCCCGTATCTGAAAAATGTTCAGCACAGAAAGAGAGCGGGTATGAATGTGGATGTGGGCTGTATACACATACCTTCGCTTAAGAAATTCCTTTCTGCAGACAACTATTTCATGAAATGCAATAAACACCCTAAAAATTCTAAGCAGCTCATTATATGCCCCCGTCTGCTTTCATGGCTCCAAGCCAGAATATAATGATGAACCTTAACTTGTTAAGAACAACTAATTTTTGTTTCTGGCTGTCTCAGGGGCTTCTCTCTTACTCACTCTCACTTTACTTCACTGTTGACACGTTTCTGTTAACCGGATGTCATCTGCCGGCCTTGATTTTATGCACAAGCAGTAGGATGCATTTTCCTGTGCAACAATCCTGCTTTGAGTTGCATTAGGTTTGTCATTATTCTCTCATTTTCCCCCTTGCACTTGTAACATTTCATCTCTTCCTGCCTTATTTTTTGTGAGCCACGGTGCACCCACATTATGGTTTATACATGATCTCGCTCCCTTTGAAGCCGGCAGATTTCAGAGCCGGCTCTCGTCAGGAGAAGAGCCTTGCACCAATTTAGCGGGCTGAGGGCCCGGAGCTCCAACATCTCAATCTAAAGGGGGTCACAGGGTGGCACAAGTGAGTGTCAGCAAGAGCTGTTTAATTGCCAATCTAGGCTTCTCCATGGTGTTTAAAGTATAATGACCCATCACTTAATTCTGAGAAGTCCTGGCCCCACTGCCGAATAGAATGAATATCAAAGGATGTTCTGGAACAGGGCAAGCTGCCTACATTTGCTATAACTGCCGTAAGTATAATAGACCTATACTTCTGTCGCCCCATTACCACAATAATGTATTTAATTTGCTGTATACGCTTTTTAACTAGCTATCTTTCATTTGGCCTACCTGGGGAATCGGCCACCTCTCCCCGCACCTTGAGGCCCTAACCTTTCTTCCTGACGTTCCCTTCCTTTCCTCCACCCCCTGCCCACCTATAAATCATCGACTAACCTCCTAATGATAATTCAATCGATCAGCTTAACCCCAATCCCCATCCTACAATTACTTTACCACTTTTAACCTCCGGAATGCACCAAATAAACAAACATGAAAAAGAACCAGGTGCAATATACAAATGCTGGCAAGGTGGGAAGAGGAGCTGTGGACTATATATAAGCTGCTACACTAACAGAACTACATGTAGCCGTGGTCCCTGGGTGCTCTCCACCTGGGAGACCCCCTATTCATTCCCATGCTTTGCGAAGCTGTGATGACACTATTTACTAAGCGTATGCTTCCTCTTCTCTCCAGGCCAGAGAACACACGAGCGTTTTCCTGCCTAACTAATACTGGCATGGATTTTGAAATTTTGATGATATATCGCAGGTAGAAAATGGATCTTTTCAACTGTGATATCCATGGCATAGTTACCGATGCTAGATATGCCACAGTTTGTTTTTCTTAATGAATGTAACTCTCTGTCACTGCCAAAATTACTGTTTTGTAAGTAGGAAAAGCAGCATCTTGACCTGTCTTTTCAGGCCCTTCTCTGGTCTTGGCTTGACATGTTGGCAGCAGGGATTGGGGAAAAAAGCTGGGGACAGCATCCCTGCCATGTAACGCATGCTAATGTCATTATGTGCCATCATCAGAATGGGTTGGTGATTTCAGACCATCAGCAAAGTCTAAACCTCCACCGATTTAATTAACTTGACTGAAAATCAGATGAACAGAAAATAAAACTATCATTAGAAACAATTAGCGACTACTTAAACATACTGTTGCCAACCAGTTTGTAAATAAACTAGCAGTCACTGAAAAATTAGCCAGAATTAATCAGAGGGAGGAAAAGAAGAACACGGGAATAGGAGTGTATCTTGTAAATATATTTCTATGCTGAAATATAAATACATACGAATGTACAGCACACACACACGATTTTTTTTTTAACTTTAAAAGACTTAGAGCTGCACAGACCACTATGATACGCACCAACCACGTGTGGCTATTGAATATTTGAACTGTGGCCAGTCTAAACTGAGAAGTGCTGTGTGTATAAGATACACATCAGATTTTGTACCAAAGCTCAGTACAAAAAAAGAACATAACATCTTATTAATAGTTGTTGTCCAGGGATAGCATGTTAAAATGACATTTTGGCTATATTGCATTGAATAAAAATACGTCATTAAAAATAATTTTATCTTTTTAAAAAAAAAAATCTTTTTTAAAAACACGGCTACTACGAAATTTAAAATTCCCTCTGTGGCTCACGCTGTACTTCTACTGGACAGTGCTACCTTCGAGGGGAGGAGGTGGATGCTTTCTTGTTGACTTGGAATCAGAGTCTGAGCTTTGAAAGCACCAATAATCTTTATTTGAACTCTTCTTGGTATAATAATAAAACTACCTTCACCGCTACCTTTCTTGCTGAGGACAGGACAACAGAGAAATGGCATTTTAAAAAGCTTCAGTCCTGTTTCTCCCTTGCCTTACTTAATTCTTTAAAATACATTGTTCAACTGAGCGACTCAAAAATTTTACCCAGAAAGACATCACTTACGTTGGAATTTCAGGGCAATTTTTCAGGATTTTCTGGGAGTATAATCTAATGTCACATTGGCTTTACACTAATAGAACTACATGTAGCCGTGGTCCCTGGGTGGCCTGGTGGCCATCTAGAGAACTTCCTGAGAAGTCACCCATGGCCTTGGAGGAAGGCCCTGGTTCTTGGAACTCACCTGGACATGGAAGCATTGACAGTCAGAGCTGTGGGGTAGGGGTGTCTGAATCCTCCTGTCGTGATTGGGTACACTGGTTGACCTTGCCTACAAAGAAGGGGTACAAAGTAAGAGACTTGAAACAAGGGTGGGGGTGGGGACAAGAAAAAGAAGAAAAGGGAAAAGTTCTCTCTGCACAGTAAGCTTTATTCTCATTTGATCAGAACAAAAATCTTGGGGATTGTACAGGAAGGATCAAAGGGAAGAAACACAGAACAATTTGAATGCCATAAATCTGATAGGAATGGCTAATTAAATTTTATAACCTCTGCTTATGTCAATAGAGACCCTCTCCCCAAGCTGAAACTAGGTGTTTTGTTGTAATAATTAAAGGCGAAGTCTCGCTTGCTTTAATGGAGCCATCACACTAATTGAGGGCTACACATCCAAAGGAAAACAATAATGAATGTAAATTTATACCAAAATAAAGTACAGTGAATCAAAGGACTTCAGTTGCGCTTTGGGCCTCTTTCGGTATTTAGATCTCGGTGAGAAAACATTAAATTAACAGAGCTTAATTTGTAGCCTTTTGTCAAATTAACAAGTGTTGACAAGAGTTACCGGGGGGAGAGTCCCCAAGAAGAATTGTGGGTAACCAATAGACAATCACACCTCATTACAATAATTAAAAAATACAGCAACATGCAAAATAGCATCCTCATGAAAGACACACAACTTTTTCTGACAGAGGGTTGTCTGAGTTGGCTATTCCTTTTTATCTAGCCTTCAAATATCTCCCCATCAGCTGAATGGGGCAAATGATCACTGAGAACTATTTGAGGGTTGGCCCCATCTATTTAGAAGAAATGGGTCACAAGCTCATGTTCCTGTCTACCCTCCCAATAAAAATAAGGCGAGACAAAGAAACAGAAACTACACCCAGGGTTGGTATTTGGTATAGCTACTACATAATGCAATCTGTTTTATTTAAAAAAAAAAAAACAAAAACAAAAACAAACAAACCAAAAAAAAAAAAAAAATACAGGTAGAATTGTGGGGTAAGCCACTCCAAAATGTTATATTCCTTAAGGCTTTGTAAGGCCATCTTCCCTAAGGCTCAAACCTGAGTTTTACCAGGATTTATTCCTTTTAGCATTCAATGTATTGTCCTGTGTTGTTCAGATCACTGACAAACAAGGAGAAATATATCCACAGAAACAAGCACGAAACACATATTACACACGTGCTCATGCAAAAACACACATACACACAACCCGCCACAGTGTGCTAATGCATCAAAGGCCTTTCTACTCTGAATTTAAAACACAGTTTTTTTAAGTTGCAAAAGACAGTCAAATAATCTGGCACTGCCAGGAACTAGGACTGATGCTTACGAAGGCCCCACATGCTACAGTGACAGTTCCAACTGCCCCATTCCCACTGTTCACAGTCATTCAACGTGCAAAGACTCTCAGAGAAATGCTGATTCAGTCCCAAGGAGCTTCTCAACAGACAAAACTTTCCACTGCTGTTGTCAACCTTGGAAGTAATGCTCAGCATGAGGTGGGGTGTCCTGGAATCATATGAGAACATGCCCTAATCCCAACCCCGGATTTCAAAACAAGGCAGTTCTTGTTCCCGCTTCTGTGCCCTCAAATATGTAACACCTAAAAGGGAGGACTCGGCAGCCTCACCCCAATGACATGATTGCAGTTTGGGCAGCCAACAGCAGAAAGGCCATGATCAGCTTCATTGGGTGGAAGTCCCAGGAGTCTTCTGCAATTCATAAAGGATCTTCAGGGCACCTCTGTCCACAGAGACTTTGGGGACCATGGTCTCGAAATGCTAAGTGCCAATAACTCTTTTCCTACAGAATCCATCTGAATGGCTATGGATTTGCCTGTATTCCCACAGGACACCTCAGCAACACCTTTCCTGTGCCCTCCCACAGCCCCCTCCCCAACCCTGGCTTCTAACACACACATACACACACACACACACGCACGCACGCACAGAATAAATAATAAGCATGCCCGTGTAAGAAACAAAAAGGAAATTAAAAAATGGAACTCCTTACTGTGGTACTAACCATCCTAGCGGATGGGGGATTTGTCCTACGGTGCCAGGCGATAGCGGGTAATACGGGGATATATCTGGAGGGTGCGGAGGCCGTGGGATTCCTGAGGGAAGAAGCAGCATTTTAGGAACAAAGGAGGGAGAGAAGGAAAGAGCAACTCGTTAGGGGATGGGAACAGGGAAAGAGGAGGAAGAGAGGCATCTCTTCTGGAATCCTAACACAAGGTTCATTTGTGATTATAAATCCTAAGAGTTGTTGGTAGGTTTCAGCTCATTTTCCCTTAGCCTCAGTTTGAAAAATTAGTTTATCTCCTTCTAAATGGACTGGGATAGTGGGTAGACTCAGATATATGCCATCTTGGGTCTTTCTGCCTCACGTGACTGGTGTGATTGTTTCAAGTTTAAAAGAAACAACCTCAAAAAGGCTCGGCAGCTGGTGGGGAATGAAGCAATGGTAATCCCTGTTGCTCTTACAACACGGGCCCTTCGCCCTGCGGAGTTTCATGCCTTATCTGCACGAAAGTTACTCCCCTGATTTCCAACAGACTTTTTGAGCTGTGCCATTCAAAAGGTTACTACCCTTGCTTTTTATCAAAAATGGTGACACCTCTAAAATATCTCCGCCTTTATTTGGATGAGCTGGAGAAACTGATCAAATGCCATGTGGCATCCTATCCAAGGTAGAACCAGAGCTGAACAGACAAGGAGGTGTTGGAGGCTTGTGTACTCACTCCATTCTGCAACTTCATCCGCTAGGGGACAGAGTCACCTGTGGGGATTAAGCCCATCTGCTGAATGGGCACCTTGTGCGTTGCAGGGGCTAAGAGCTTCACAAGGCACACATGAGGGGATTCTGCAAGTACGTGCCACCGCGTGCCTGCCAGTTCCACAGGAGCACATCCTGCAGACGACTCTGACAGAGAAGAACTGATCTGTGCCGTTGAAGTGGGAGGCAAAAGGCACAATACCACAGAATTAAAACAGAGTAAAGGAGGGAACGGACTGCCTGTTCGTGGATGAAAACGACTTCATTTTTTAAAAAATTCATTCAGGAAGCTTTTAATCGGTAAATTAAGTCTCCCTGGGTGACATTTTCATGCAGACATTGCTTTCTCTCTATTACAAAAACCAAACAGATTAGCTGGGCTTGGACCCTACACCGAGCCATTTGCACACTTGAAAGAATGTTCGCAGAGGAAAAGTAAACAGTCCACAGACGTTAATCATATGTTTTACGATAACCATTTAAAAGCTATTCCCTGTACTACCATTATTTAAATGAGACGTTGACGCTGCCATTCACTGGTGGAGCCTGGGGCCGGCTGGAGGAGGCCGCCAGGCATCCAAGCACCAGGCTCAGTCCTGCACCAGCACAAAGGGGCTCAGAGACCAGTAAAACTCAGCTCATGTGTGGCTTCTTTCAGGGGCAGTGAAGGCCGCCTAACCAGGCAGCCTACCTACCCCAGCACTACCAATCCCCTCTAACGAAGTGATGCGTGATCACCGACTTAAAACCATCCTTCCAATTACTGAGCTGGGAAGGGAAACGCCTACCAACATACTGGGTAGCCTGAAAGACACACACTAAGCTTACCTGTTCTTCCAAGACCACCCCACCAGGAGCTGGGGCTGCCTGCCTGATTTAGATCTTGTTGAAGGAGAACTAAAAGTAACTCCACCTTCTCTCCTTCTCCCCTTTGGGAAAAAAGCAGTCAATGAACGACTGGGATAAAAAGGGGATGCTGGGTTGGGTGTGGTGGCTCATGCCTGTAATCCCAGCACTTTGGGAGGCCGAGGTGGTCAAAAGTTCGAGACCAGCCTGGCCAACATGGTGAAACACTGTCCCTACTAAAAATACAAAAATTAGCTGGGTATGGTGGCACATGCCTGTAGTCCCAGCTACTTGGGAGGCTCAGGCAGGAGAATTGTTTAAAACTGGGAGGCAGAGGTCGCAGGGAGCCAAAATCGCTCCATGGCACTCCAGCCTGGATGTCAGACCAAGACTCTGTTTCAAAACAACAACAACAACCGCAACAAAAGGGACACTGAAAAGCATGGCAACTTCTCCCAGACACCCATTGGTTATTCTATGAAGAAATGAAGCAACCTGCCTGGGCTTCAGTATTCACATCTGTAAAATGGGCTCAACAATACCTAGAATATTGTAGGCGACAAAGAAGTTAAATAAATTAGCAAAGAAAATGCAGAATCCAGTGATGTGGCTTTTTGAGGCTATACCAACAAGCCATTGTCAAGTAGTGACTGGAGCCTCTTAGCCAGCGAGAGAGCTGAGGTTTGCAAAGTCATGCTGTCACATCTTCCCAGGAAGCTGAAGAGGAACCCAAGAAATGCCTTCAATATGATTCCTGCATCCACGTCTGTCTGCAGCTCTTAGAGTTAAAAGCCACTCCTGAAACATACTGAGGACTCAGAGCTGGGTTCCCAAGACAGCCCCTTCAAGGGTACTGGAAGCCATGAAGAGATATTTAACACTGCAAATGAACTTCTCCAAAGGGAGTGGAAAACCACTCCCATACCAGGCCTCAATCACCCCAAAGAGCTTCCTTTTCAACACCCAGAAAAGCAACAGGGGCCCCACCACCACCGTTCCCACGCAGTCCCCTACTGTTCCGCCCCTGGGGTTCCTGTGGAGGCCTCAACAGGTTCCCCAGAACCCCAGGACCAGCACTCTACCTTGGCTCCCAAGCCCACAGCCTACCTGTTTTGGGGTCTACGTCGGCTGGTAAGTGTGGAGGTGGGTTTCCCGGCGTGAAGTGTTCATTGCTGTACGTGATAAGAGGCGTGAGGGGGTGGACATGGTGAGGGTGCTGCACCACTGGCACTTTGTTCGACTGTGGGGAGGAGAACAGAGAAAGACACCATCAAGCCGGTTCCGGCAGCCCAGGTCTTCAGAGCACCGGGCCCGTGGGTTCCCCTGACTGCAGCCTCCCACCTGGATTTTCTAAGATGCACTCAATGCTGCCCGTCCCATACTCTCCCGAGTCCAAATAAATAGATGGTTGTAAGACAGCTCTCTGGGTGGGTCTGCTTTAGTTTTTATTTCCCCACTAAGCCTGGCTTTTAAAATACCTTCTCCATCCCTACCCCATTATGGAGCCCAAGAGTCTGCACTTTTCCCATCCGCAGGTGAGTTGGAAGCGGGGACTTTAATCTCCCATGCCTACTGCGTTTCCGCATGTGGTGGGGACCTCCTACCCCAAGGCCCCACCTCCAGGAGGCAGGCAGGCTGCACAGGGGACCATCTAGGAAAACCACCACTTAAAAGAAACCGGCCGGGCCCAAATCCCACCCAGCCAGCCTCCTTAGCCACCCCCCCCACAGCTCCTATCCCCTCCCTGCCCTTAGAAACAGCGGGCATGCTACAGTCCTTCTCAGACAGTATGGACACAAAGCCCCACTCGTGGTTTGGGTGGGAGTGTGAACTTTACCAGAAAGCTCTAAACTGCCTGGCAATCACCTGCATATTCTATGCAGATTACAGCAGCCCTGATTCATTAGGAATTTCATTAGAAAGTCATCTGGGAATGCTAATACATTAACTGGATGATGAGGAATTGGGCTAATAAAAGGTACGCATTTTAGAAATGGGCAGTTCTAGAAAACAAAGTACAGGCATTTTTATGTTTGGGAAAGGTGGGTCAGTGGAGAGAAGCAAAGGGCAGGGTGGGGGGAAGAAAAGCATTTAAAAAATGTTTCTAGTTGTCAGACCCAGGCTTTCCCAAATTATTCTCCTCCTCTTTCCCCCACCTCCTGCTCAGTCCACCCCTCCCCACTCCACTACACTGTGCTGTAACTTAGCCCAGCAAGATCACAAAGAAAAAATTAAGCTGAAACAAGCGAACTACTGGGCCATTTACGGAGAGTAATCCAATTGCAAAAAACCCTATTCCCCATAGAGGATTTTCACTAAAATCCTACAACAGGGACATTTAACCAGATTAGGTACCAGCGAAGATAAAGAGGCAAGTATTAGATGATGAATGGATTAGAGTCAAGTTTCATTTCAGAACGTGTCTTCATTTCCTTTTATTACTTTTAGGAAGGCACAACTTGCATTAACATCAAGGAAAAGGAATTGCATTAAAAGAAAAGAAGGAAGGTTCTAGTGCTGCCCACTAGCGCCTGTTGAGTTCAGGGATCACTAAGCAGTTAGTTCTCTTTACTGGTTCTCTTCCTGTCCATTTTTTTTTTTTTTTTAAATAGGTGAGGAAGGAATGTAATATAGGAACAGCATTTCTTACCACAGGTAATTGAGGGGGAAAGCGTCTTTTAAAAAGTGCTTTTAACTTTTTTGTGGTTATGTGTGGAAAGAAAAATAAGGCCTTCTCTCTAGATGCCCCAGAAAAAAACTGCAGAAAAAGAAGTCAACGCTTCCAACAGCCTGGTTTACCAATTCCTATGTATAACTGGCCTCTTGGAGAAAGGGGAGATCATGTCCAGATGACATGATCTGTTTACAGTAAAGAAGCACAAATCCCACAGCCATGTTCTAAGCAGGACTAAGGGGAGATGTGGGGAAAACCCTCTTTCTCTACTTTACAACAAAAGAGGAAGACAGCATTTGGGCAATAATGGAATTGACTGAACATAAGATTTAAAAATTAAGCCTCCATCTTCTTAGATATACATATGAAGGCGATTCCAACAAAAGGTTCTATCCCCCTGTGTTCTGGCTACCAACACCTCTCCCAGTATTATGTTGCACGCCTGAGCCTAGCCAACTAGTGTTTTTGCTTATAGGAGCTTTGTGTTATATGCTACCATTTTGCAATCAAAGCAAGTAAGTTAAAAGCCACCAAAGCAGAGGGAGCTTTGGAAACCAGAAACACTTCCACAGAAGGGGCAGCCATGAAGGGCTGGGCAGGCCAGGGCCAGGGTGAAGGGCTGCTACCTCATGGCCAGTGCTGGCACCTCATGGACAGACACTAAGGATTCCTTAAGAAGAACATTTGCTCAGCACAACTTGAGAAATAAGGAACAAGGAAGCTCCCACACTGTGTGCTGAGGTGGGGATGGAAAAGAGAAAAGGAGAGGAAAGGAGGGAAAGAGACAGACACGGACAAAGTGGAGACCTTTGGAGGCAAGGCTGTTGCTGCCTTCCAGAAGTTTTCTCTTTAGTTGGAAAGATACATACCCGCTGACATGAAAGAAAGCAGACCAGCTCCAGACAGTTGAAAGTGAGTGTGAAAAAACACCAGGGCCAGTGGGGAGAACCACCCACAGCCCAGAGAAGGGAAGATGATCACTCAGGGGTGGAAGGACTGATCAACTACCACGGGAGGACCACCATCAGCCATGAGAAGCAGCACATGGGAGAAGAAAGGGCTAGTGGTGGGCATCAGAACCAGCAGCAGTTAGCCCCGAGTCAAGCATCTCCCAGGATGCTTCCCACTCACTCAGATTCCCCAATCCTAGGAAATCTCTCAGTAGGCCCTGATTCATTCACAGTGGGTCTGGACTCAGGACCCAAGCATGTTGGGCCTGCTTCCTGGGTGTTGTGGGTGGTTCTTGTGTTCAGCCATGAGGACCACATGCACACAGGCAAGCACAGAGGTAAAGAGCCATGAGTTCTGATGAGGAATCAAGTCCTAGTTCTTAAGGAACCCAGGAAAAGCCTTAGCACATAACCTAGCACATAAGTTTGTTATTTATTATCTATTACAGTGGTTTATTAGTAATGTTATTTTTACTGTTAAGAAGAAGCCGTCCAGATGACATGATCTGTTTACAGTAAAGAAGCACAAATCCCACAGCCATGTTCTAAGCAGGACTAAGGGGAGATGTGGGGAAAACCCTCTTTCTCTACTTTACAACAAAAGAGGAAGACAGCATTTGGGCAATAATGGAGTTCACTGAGTATAAGATTTAAAAATTAAGTCTCCATCTTCTTAGATATACATATGAAGGCGATTCCAACAAAAGGTTCTATCCCCCTGTGTTCTGGCTACCAACACCTCTCCCAGTATTATGTTGCACACCTGAGCCTAGCCAACTAGTTTTTTCCTGTTCAGTCAAAACTATATCATGGGGGTGGGGATGGGGTGGAGGGGGTGGTAGGGAATTGGAAGCTTTAGGTGCTGCCAGGCTTTAGGGGAAAAAAATGGGACCTGTACTAGGACTAGCCCTACTCCTTTCTGACCTCAACTGCATGCTAGGCAGGTCCCTGTGAAAGAACAGAACTTCCTCTCTGTCCAAGCTCATGGGTTCCCTTGCAAGAGAGGAGAACTCTGTGGTCATACCTGCCAAAGCCAGGGACTACCTGCCACTCCATCCAACCTCCCTCTACCTGGAATCCTCTATGATGGAAGGATTTTCTTCTTGCAAATGCCTATGTCTCTCTGGCCTCAGACCCCAGAACACTTTCTTCCTACATCACACGATGCCCATTGCTGGGGGTGTGTGTGCACCCAACCTAAGTTCCTTAGGGACAAGGACTATGTCTTCTAGAACTCTGTGTCCTCCCAAGTGACCAGCCTGTGGTATGGAGAGCACATTCTCCTAAACTGCATAAGAACCACCAAATTGCAACTGCAAGCATTTGAAGGGAAAGACAAAGCCAATCACAGATTCACTTCAAGTAAATGGCGGCGCTCTTTAAATGTAGTCTCCTTAGAATCACAGAACAGAACGTAGTGGTCCTTCCAGACCATCCAGTTCAATACTCTTGCAGACACTATCTCAATTACAACTGTGCCCTTAAAAGGGTTTTAGGGGCAACTGGCAATGCACACCGTGATTCAAGAACTGAATTCAAGGAATACCCAGATTTTAATTCTTCCTTACCAGGTTGGCTGTGTGACCTCTCTCAAGACTTCCTTTCTGTCTCTGTCAACTCCGGATGAGAATCATGTCTACCTCGCAGGGTTGTGAAAACTGAACGAGAACTTGCATGTAAAGTATTTAGCACAGTGACAGGCACAAGCTAAATGTGCAATACAAAGATGCTTTGAAAATGCAATCCGATGAATACTAATGATGACGCAGTTCACTATGCCTCTAGCTTCTTCTGATTTAATTCATGGAGCGAGGGGGACACACAGCCACGACTCCACTCCTGATTTCAAAGGTAAGGATGTTTGTTTATGGGGCAAGATCATTCTAGATGATTAGTGGCACTTTCCTCAGGCACATACCCTTCTTCAAAATGAGGTGTTTAATTAATCCATATATTTTAATATCTCTTGTGAGAAGAGTCATCATTTCACTATGCCAATAAATGAGATTGCCACAGAGGAGCTGAAAGTTAAACAACAACAACAAAAAAAGGCAGGTGGAGATGATCATGGTCCCTTCCAGATCAGGGCAAGGGCTTTTAAGTAAGAGCTGTCACAAATGAAACACAAAAGAATCCAAATAGAAAGATGCCCCTTGGACATTCTCCTTCTCTTTGAACACCTCCCACTTCTCTAACGAGGTCTTTAAGAATTGTGTTCAAAATCGCACCACCCTAAGAAAATTCAGATGTGAAAAGTAACTTGGTTGCAACATAAACAACCTTCCAGAAATGTATTCATGGCAACTAAATTAGCAGCAACTATCCATGCTGGGGGTGCTGGTGGGCTCATTAGCCTGCAGTACTTATTCCCTCCCCTTTTTCTCTCTTTATAAACAGAGCCCAATGTGCAAGGAGGCCAGGTGCCTTTTTGGGAACTATTTTACCTAAATACATCTTCAAAACTACATGGGGATACAAAGTCATTACGACCAGTGACAGCGAACCAACGTTCAAGGTCATGGTAGTGATGGTCAAGCAGAGCTGTGTGAAGAGCCTGCGCTGCTGTACTGAACTCTGAAAACATGATGAAAACGACTCTCTGAGCCACAAAAACAG